TTCCATTTTCTTTTAATGTTAATTTCTGTTAGTTTTTTTGAGTAAAAACTAACAGCGTGTTTTTGAGAAACGAGTCTCCTATTTACATCATCATTATATATCAAAATTTCATTATATCTTCATTTATATTGCTATTTTATGAAGGTAATCAAAGCTTTGGCTGTATTTGAATTCCTTCATTTGTTCGATTTAGTTAAGTGGTTATCGTACTACCATATGTTTTTTTTTTGTTGTTGTTGTTGCTGTTGTTGTTTTCAAATTCATACAAATTGAACTTTGCGACTTTGTGGAATCCGTGTATCTGTTTCTAGTGACAGGCTTTTCAGGTTAATTCAGCTGCAGGAAAGTTTGTTTGTTTGTTTGAAGTTAAGCACAAAGCTACACAATGGGCTATCTGTGCTCTGCCCACCACGGGTATCGAAACCCGGTTTCTAGCGTTGTAAGCCTGCAGACATACCGCTGTGCCACTGGGGGCCTGCAGGAAGGATTTAATAATATTTCTGAAATACGTTGTGTTTTCCCAACTCAGTCGCAGCCATAGTTCATCTTAACGTTGTGATGAAATTAGTCAAAGAAGAAGTAAACAGATTTTGGACTGCTGTGAATGGACGAAAACTACGAAAACATAATTTTACTCCCTTAGTACAGATTATTTTTTGAAGATTCATAATATTCTCTCTCAAAATTTACACACAATTCGTGTTAAGTAGCACTAGTTGTACTCTGAGAAGCGTTTCTTCCATCGATCCTACGAACCTCCGCTTGTCTGCGTTAGTAAACGTCTGTCACAACAAGTAATAATTTCCTTTTAATGCATTTTTCATCGATTTCCATCCTCAGCTGATTATTCATGCATCAAGACATCACACAATGGCCAAGTCTTCCACTTGTTAAGGGGCCTGTTAGGTAACTTTCGAACGATGGATTTAGACGTAATGATACGATTTTCTTGAACGACCCTTATTACTGTAGAATAAGAAGAAAAAAAAACGTTTATAGCATATTTAAATCCCCTTACCTGTAAGGTGTCAAAGCGAAAATCAAATCATATCTAGACTAGCATTAAACTTAGTAGATTTATTTTCCAAGCAATAGCGAATTTTATAGTTAATATTTAAGTTAGAGGTCCATTACAGAAAACGACATAAAAGCACATTTATTTAGAAAATACACGCCATTCTTAAACAAAGGGGAAAAAAACATGATCTAAGCCTTTCAAGATTTTTTCTAAAGTATAACTAAAAGTTTATGAAACTATCTCAACGTGAATATGTCCACTTTACTAAATACTTAATATCATTTCAAAAGCAGATCCATTAATTATTCATTATCTAACACTGTAACATCATAAAAGAATGCAATAAAATGATCTGATTAGACATTTTTCTAAATGAAAGCATCCTATGTATCAGTTCGTGTGATGCTGTGAAAGCTAAAAGATAGCTATTAAGTTTAATATTTTTAATTTAGTGTTGTTGTTTTTTCTTACTCTTAAGAGCCAACACATTGGTGTTGATTTTCGTTCTAGCACATCCTTTGTGAAAAAGACATATGGTATCAATCAAGTGTTGGTTGTGTTCTTTACTTACACTGGTTTGATAAGTTACAAAAATTGCTTTAGTTGTGAAAAAAAAGCAGTTTAAAGTGTATAGAGTCAATTCTACTACATTTAAACTTCTATCTAATACATCCCTTTTATTGTCCATAATAACTGATAATTTAATGTACTCCTATGCAGCAGCTTGTAAAGCAAGAAGGGGTCTAACTTGTAGAGTTATTCAAAATATATTTATTTTTGTGAACTCGCGCTTTTACTCATATATCACTGAAATAACTTGTATTCAATGATTAAATGCTATTATAGGGCAGTTATACTTGCTTCATTATTTGTCATAAAAATATATACACAGCAGAAGTATCACTGGAATTATCATTAAAACTTGTACAGTGAGAGAAAACCAAGAAGAAACAAATTCAGGTCACTGTAAAGACAATTAAACATTGGACTAGGGCTAAAAGATCTTATAACATTTAAAGAAAAATATTCAATTTAAATTTCCGTTAGATAAGTTGCTTTCATAACTACCATTTTAGCTGTCACTTACATAAGAATAATTTATGCATTTCTTTTAACTATAGACTCGTAAACAGTATTCTACTACGTAAGTACGGATGGAAAAAGGGATAATATTTTTACTTACTAAAAATATTTCATGCATGAATGCATAGGTTACAGTGAATGACTCATAGGCAATGTGTCTCATACATGCAGATGAAATGTGGTACCTGAAAAACACTTGGTCTAGATAGTCACCTAATATATACAACACGTCACATACATACAGATGAAACGTGGTACCTGAAAAACACTTGGTCTAGCTAGTCACCTAATATATACAACACGTCACATACGTACAGATGAAACGTGGTACCTGAAAAACACTTGGTCTAGATAGTCACCTAATATATACAACACGTCACATACATACAGATGAAACGTGGTACCTGAAAAACACTTGGTCTTGCTAGTCACCTATATATATAACACGTCACATATATACAGATGAAACGTGGTACCTGAAAAACACTTGGTCTTGCTAGTCACCTATATATACATATACAACACGTCACATACGTACAGACGAAATGTGGTATTTTGTTCACCCACCTAACAAGTCTTCATACATTAAATCATTTATTTCAAATTATGACTCATAAGGTGCGTCATTGGATACGGATGAAATATGGTTTCATAAGTTTACTCATAAAACAACATTTCGTGCTTCATAACATATGATCCAACAAGTTATTCGTATATACAACGTGTCACATATATATACAAATGAAAAATGGTGTCACATACTGAAAGCCACAGTGTATTTATGTGTGAGTTTGTACCTGGCCATAAAAATACATTATCTAACATAAGTGGTATTATCATTTTACAATAAATTATTCCTAGCATGTAGTCCATGACAGATACCGAAAAACGAATCACATGAGACAACTCGCCATCTCCGTATGCTGAGAGAATCTCAATAAAAATCCTACGACGTGAAAAAAAGGTAAAGAGAAACTTTGAAAGTTCTAACTCCATCAATGATAATGAACTCAGCAAATATCGTGCTACCGAGATTTCAAGATTTTTTCTCACTTTTGCAGTTTCTGGATCAGAGGACATTTATTTTCCTGAATCTGGATATTTCGATAAAAATTATATTTGTCGTTTTTCTTTCACAGGTATTCCTCTTCTTTTCATTAGTTTATCCTTTGCATGGATAATTAAGATTAAAAAAATAAAAAATAATATTATTATGAGTATAGTATATTCAACTAAATCATATAATTCTTACTGTTTGGACACATCGTTTCACAATTCCGTATTTCTATTACACCTTGATTTGTTTTGCCGTGTTAATATAACAGAACAAACCAAAATAAAAATATATTAATTCAATATGACGAAACAAACGAAGATATTGTAGATTAAACTAACATATCTTCATTTCTGTTTGTTCCATCATGCATATCTTGGCTAGTATTGACATACTGGTTCATCATACTGTGTTTTACCATGCTAACCTATCATATCTTGGTTAGTTTCACTGAACTATCCCAACTTATTCGATGACGAGGAACCCACTTTGAGACTAATAATGGCTGGAGACGGCTTGAATGGGTAATGAAGAAAAAACAAAACCTTGTCGAAACGTTGTACATTTGCTGTTATATTAAAGTTTTTCTTCATTACCCGTTCAAGCCGTCTCCAGCCATTATTATCCCAACTCATATTGATTTGTTTGGCCACTTAACTGATCAAATCTTGGTATATTTCGCCATATTAAATTTCCAGACATTAACTCATGGTTAACATGCCGATCTGTGAATCCGAGGGTCTATGATTCGAGTCCAATTGCCGCAAAATCGCCCTTCTCATGTTGGGGCCGTGGGTGTATGATGTTCACTTGCCCCCTTCTTTTAAGACAATAAGTTAAAGATTAGGAACTGTTGCCAGTACAGATAGTCATTACGTAACTTTGAGCGAATATCCAAAACAAGCTACATTAATCTATCATCTCTTGTTTATTTCCCCCCATGTCAATCTCTTTGTTATAACTTTAGTCTTCTGTTTCTATTTTTCTTGTATTCTTCCAGATTTTTCCAGTTCATTTATACGAATTGTCTCCATATTGCCTTGTTCTAGTATTGGGAACAAACATTGTTTATATTTATCTTGTTCGTGAATATTTCTGTAGGTATATATTCTAGCTATGTCTTGCCACGAAGTTTTACTATTTTTATACATATACATTCTGTTTTAGCTGTTCTAGCACTGTTAGTCTTTTTGTGAGTATACACTCTTGCTGTAGTTGTCCTGATACACGTATTAATCCTGAAGGTACGCACTATCTTTGTTTTCCCCTATACGTGTAATATTTTTGTGGATATTGTCTTCAGGTTCTGTCTTCTTGTGTACATGGACTGTCAAAGTGATGTCTTACCCGTACGTTTGTAGACAAACACTCTAGCAAAGTATTGTCACGTCTGCTACTACATATACACTTTAGTTGTATGTAGTCTGTATTTGTTCCGTTCTGGTAAATATAAATCTGTCCTGTTCGTGTATACTCATCTCGTAAGTATATGTATATACTTATGCTTTGTCTCGCTCTGTACATGTGCTGTTTTTCATAAATATACACTCTCACTTTGTCCTGTCCTATTTCTTTACTGTTCTTGTGGGTAAGTTCAACTATATACAATTTTTCTTATAAAACTTAATATTTTCAAATTTGTTTGCCTTGTTATGCCCTCTGAATGTCTTAACTGGACTTGTCGATATCCTTGTCATTCTTTTCGGGGTATGAAATTTTTACTAACTTTCTTTATGCACTGTTTCTTACATTTAAATATATTCCATCACGTTACACTAACAAATGTTTTTATTATGCTATTTATTTCACTTCTTTATCACGAAGTTTCTCGATCTTATTTTGAAGGTGTCTTGGGTACGTCAGAAGGACCTTCACATACTGACCGTTGGCCGATATACATACACTAGTGACCAAAGGTTCACTTCTCTCCACCTGGATGACTCAGACGATTGGACTCTCAAGATTCAATATACCCAAAAAAATGATGAAGGAATTTTTGAATGTCAAGTCAGCTCTGAACCGAAAATAAGTCTTCCTATACTACTAAATGTTGTGGGTAAGTTTAATGCTGCTAGATAATTTACCTCTTGCATTCCGTTTAAGTCTTTTAATAACAATAATTATTGTTTTTAAAGGAAAATAATGTCTATTGTAATCATTCTAGTTATGTAACAAAAACATTGGTTCTAACAAAATATCCTTAAAATTAAATGTATCCCTTTATCAATTAAATGATCGTCTTACACAAGATCTATTGATTCTATATGATGTTAGTACGTAGATTAATCACAGTATGAGAACGATTTTTATAAACTAAAGCGAGCCGTGGCGCGACTGGGAAAATGTTTAGTACCAATATGTTTGATTCAAAGCGAATTTCCAACCCTCTGATAGCGTAATGCCACCTAGAATTGTTCGAGGTTAGGTCAAAGTCCTTTCTTTCCAAGGTTTCAAAGGACGCCTATCTTTAACATAGTGAACGGCATCGGTAAAGGTAGATCAGCCCGTTCAATTGAATAGGTAAAACCATCTAAATAGTATTCAACCACATATAAAACTGTTGGTACCACTCCACAGACTGATATTCCAGGATTCCACGTCGTATAAATCTGAATGCGGTTGCTAACAAGTCGCACATTTCTCAATCAAAGAGTTAATTCATATAAATATTTTCGTTCTATAGAGGCACACAACCAAGAGTACGCAATTATTCCCCATTCATTCACATTTTCCAGACAAATATAACTGTAAGAAGAATACCTTGTACGTAAGAGCTTGGTGGTTTTTTCTTTGTTTCTTTTTTTTTTTGTGTAACAGTGGAAGAAGTATAGGTGTACTTTAACGATTGCGACAAGAATCGAATTTTGGTAACTGCCACAAGGTGATAAGAATTTTCCAACATGATACAGAGAATGTAAAGTTTTCTATCTAGTTTTACGATTGTGCATGTTTCTCATATAATGAGAAGTTTAAACTTCATAAAATGCAAACAGTAAAGTAAAGGTGAACTCTGGATACTATCAACAAAAACATACTGACCAATTATTTGAGATAAGGCAGATTTAGCTACAACAGTATAAAGCGTCAAGCCAGACTGCAGCGTTTGTACGAATCATGAAGAATGAGCCAATGTTCGTGCGACATACCTGTGAAGGTATCTGACTGCGCACTTTTGTGCATTTCATTTGTTTAAACATGCAATAAATGGTTGTAGAAAGTGTGTCTAGATTTAGCAGTCTTTCATATAAGCTGAACATGTAACAGTGGAAGTTGCAGTGTGCGTAACTATGGTCATATCAGTCTGTGGGGAAAGTATCTTCTAGGAAAACACTTGTTTTTTCTTAATATCATTTCACGGTTAAGTAAACTTACTTTTACATTAAAAGATTTAATAAAGGAAGTTTTAACTTTTTTTTTACATTTCCGATTCAGTAGTTAACATGGTTGTGATTTTTTTTCAGTAAAAAAACAAAATGTTATTGAGCGTTTGCTTCGGTGTATGTTTGCGAGTGAAAAAAATTTGCTCAGAAACTTAATTGGATCAGATCTGTAAAAATAAAAATTGAGTGGGCTAAAGAATCAAATCGATCTGGTTTCGTTTTGATCGCAGTTCAAAATCTTTCTAGCTTATCATCAAAGCTATTATATTATAATCTTATACGACCTTTGATTTTAAAAGGTCAAGCTCATGTAAGATAGGGGTCATGTCTTTCTGTTTGTTCATTGCTCTTTGATGTGTTTTTATCTTAAGCAGAATCAAATCCTTTTTATAAACTTCTGTTTGGTTTATGTTGATATATAATGTTGCTGATGTAAAGTCACTCACGTTACTAAGTCAGATATATTTGTAATATTACAATTTATATATATAAATTTCAAAACTTGATATTTATCTCTTAACTATTTCTTGGCTGCTGATAACTTTCGCCCACTTACACTTGATTACGTTAAGTTTATATGTTGCGTGTTATTACTACATACATACATATATGTGTGTGTGCGTATATATATATATATATATACTATATACTATATTTCTTACTTAACAACTTGTAACTTACAACTCAACATGAATTATAAACTAAAGTGAACTAAACACAAAGAAATCTAAGTTATGGCTATTTTCATTATATATAAGGACCGTGCTTATGTGACAAATTTTTTCATCAGAGGTCTATGATCCTCCCTGTTCTTCCCTTAACACGACCTTACATTTGAATTATTATTGCTTCCTTCAAAACTGCTGTTCTTGTTTTTTCAGTAGCGATATTTTCACGTGCTCATATAAATAACTTATGACTGTAATTTATCCTAAGAACATTTAATTTGCAGATGAATGAACTTCGCCTTATGAAAAGGTCATCGTAATGTGTTGAAAAGTTTCAAAAATGAATCGTTACCACAGAGTTATTGTAATGTATATTCTGTTCGACGTTTTATTAATTTCTTAGCAAAAGTTGTTCTCTCGTGATAAACCTTGAATTAAAATTGTGTTTCAGATGAGCTTCGTGACTTCAAGATATGTGTTTAACACTACGTTAAATTTATTTGTAATAGAAAAACTTGTTTAAAAATTACACAAAACTAACATTGATTGCTGAATTGTTTGTATTTTGATGAAATGCTCTCGTTCTGACAGTAAGTGGGAAAATATATCATGTCGAGGCTAAGTATTTTATCCTAGAAATAACATGTCATTGTAGCTTGTGTAAAGAACCACTTGTGTTCGCTGAGACACGTTCATCGTCCCTATAACCTCCTTTTTATGATCAGTGGTTTCAGTTTCGAACCGCAAGAAATGATGCCTCTTGTAGTGATGTTACTGAGACCTAGCCTACAGAGTTCGTGTTCCTTTACAACACTCTTTGTTTTGGAAAATAACAACTTCTAATAAATCTCATAAATATTGAACATTTAATGGCAGACCTTAAAAAGAAAGGTTTTAGTTTTAGAGTTATATACAGAGATACAGGAAATAACTTATTTTATAAGAAGAATTTAAATAAGCATGTAATTAGGTGGGAACCCTAAGTGATGTAAGTAATACACTTTTTAAACCACAAGTATTTGTTATTGCAAAACAAAGATATTTTGTCACATATTTCAATCACATTTGTTTGGATCATCACTAGGCGCATTGGGAATTTTAATGTTCGCTTAAGCCAGTAGGAGTGCAGACAGATTAACCACAATATTTATGATAAATGTGCACATCTTTCTTTGTTTTACGATAAGTAACGAGGTTTGTGGTGTCTCCCTTCTTTCAATAAGCTTTATGTTGTGCTATGCAGCCGAACATCGTAGAAAAATGAATTAAATAACTAAACGTTTGAACATAGAAGAAGAAATTTTACCCAAACTTAATGAGCGGACACTACACCTTCTCTTGACAAACAACTTAATGAGCGACACTACACCTTCTCTTGACAAACAACTTAATGAGCGACACTACACCTTCTCTTGACAAACAACTTAATGAGCGACACTACACCTTCTCTTGACAAACAGCAGATTGTAATTCATACTCATTTGTTTTTTCTTGGGATCATTGCTATGTTTTAAATCCATTTTTTTTTTCGATTTTTTTGCCACTTAAAACACTTATCGCTACAACAGCAAGATATAATCACTCTCTTGTCTGCAGGTAATTTGGTAAAAATAGATTATTAATTGAACCCCAATATGATTTACACCATTGTTCTTGGAAAAATAACAACCACTAGACTTAACATCTCAGTATAGGTTTAAGTTTTGAAAGCCAGGTTTTTAGGATTATCAGTCAACAGACTTACTGCTGAACCATGGGGGTAGAGGGCTGGAATATAGGAAGCGTAAATTTCTAATGGCCATGAGTACAAATGTAATCGAGCTAAAATTTAGTAAAAGCATATTAATTTTCCGCCAAATTTAATATCGGTGATATTATGTTCTTATGCGAAAGTCACTTCGTTTGAACTTATTTTATATCTGTCCAAATCAATTTCTTGTTCTAATTTAAAGCCTTACACATCTTGTTGATGGATCTCATTTGTAGAAGGTACATCAAATACTTCAAAATACTGGGTATATAAACACTGGGTATTTTAATATAATTTTTTTCTGAATGCTACTTGATAAACCGTGTTATTATCTTTAACAAACATTACAGTATTGCTTTGACAAATAATAAAAACCTTTCTTTCCATTCTGAGTAGAATCTTTCACTAATAGCAGAAATGAAATTGTATGGATGGTGTAAAAAATAGTTCTCGTCGCACAAAAGAGAACAAATTAGATAAAAACAAACAGTAATCTTAGTTTTTTTAAAGAGAATCGTGTGACAAATAATGGCAGCTTGATATATACTATAGTGATTAGACTATTAGAATGTGTTTGTTGTTAAGCACAAAGCTACACAATAGGCTATCTGTGCTGTGTGCACTACAGGTATCGAAACCAGGTTTTTAGCATTATCAGCCAACAGACTTACCGCTGGAGGGGCTGGAACATAGGAAGCGTAAATTTTTAAGTGTGAGTACAAAGCTTTTTTTTAAATGAAATTATGCATCCAACATCATTAGCATATAATAAAACACTGTTGGAAGCATCTTTAAATTTACTCATTTTAATTCATATCAATAGATTTTAGTTTTCTCATAGAAAAGTTCGTTCAAATAATGACCTTGCTGTTAGAGTCAAGCAACGTAATACATCAAATGACAAGCCACCATTTGATTGTGATTTAATAATGTAAAAGTGTTTTAGGGATAGGTGTGTTAACTTTCACAGAATATTAATGGAATTAAATCCAAATTTTAATGTGACCTGTAATAAAAGATCCTATGCAACCTTCTGACCTATATGAATTAAAATCCTACAACTTTCATAACTGTAACATGGGACAAGCGTGGCTTACGAGTTAGCGCTCGATAGGTGCTACTGACTAGCTGCCTTCCCTCTAAGCTCAAAATTAGGTTAGTGCAAATAGCACTTGTGTAACCTTTCACAAATATCCAAAACAAAACAAACTTAATCGCCACTAGCTGATACAACATAACTCATATATGCAAAGATTAA